AACATAATATCTAACGCTAAGAGATACCAAACAAGAAATATTCAGGAAAAGCATCAACCCACGGGAAAACAATGTAGCTAGGCAGAGTAAATTGAGCCCGACATCAGAAACCCATAATTTTTAACAATAACTAAAATCACATAAGGGGCCCACAATAACCCAAAATCAAGCAAGAACTGAACAAAAAAGGTGATTAGTCACTTGTGTAGGTGCCTTTGATGAAATCCCGATATGCATCTATAACCACGTATCGATGTGACATAAGCTCACAAATTATTGAACATAATTCAAGAGAGGGGCCAGAAAGAAAAATATCAAAAAAAAAAAAAAAAACAAACATTGAACAGCTAAAATTAGAACAGAGCAGAAGAACATCAAACATCTAAAACCGAAACCCAAGAAGACAAACTTATCACAGTCTAATACGAAGTAAGCTGAGGTACACAAATACATCATAAACTAGCAAAATGCAGCAAGGAAACAGGGATTGCAATCTCAACCCCCAAATCCCAAAAAAAAAAGTTCAATTACGCAAAACTAACAATAATACCCTAACAATCCAAAAAAAAAAAACAAATTGACACAAAAATCTAGCGGTACAGAAACAAAATTGCAGTAATTTAACAATAATCATACCGTGCGGCCATCAATAACATGGCTATCCTCTAGAACCCTATCGAGAATGCTCGGATCGGCAAACACAACAAATCCGAAGCCTCTAGGCTTGCCGGTTATTTTATCTCTCATGACAACAGCCTGCAGTACATCTCCGTAGCCATGGAAATGCTCCTTCAGCCTCTCCTCGTTCGTCTCCCATGAAATCCCGCCAATAAACAGCTTCCCCTGATCTGAATCCATTAATATCAGTAGAAGAAGATGCCTGCGCGCGAAAAAAGGTGGAGGAGGGGTTTGGTTTGGGGGCGTAAATCTTCGGAAAAACGAGGGTTTGAGTTGTTCGCTTCTGAAGAAAGCCAGGCGGCGGCTGAGGCGGGGATTAGAGAGAGAGGGAGAGTGTGTGTTTGTGTGTGTGAGAGAGAGTTTTATGGCTAGGATTTGAGGAGTTAAATTGGGGGCTGAGAATGGACGGCTGAGATTCGTTGTTCTTTTGGTGGAGAAAGTAAAACTACATGTACAGGTACAGCGTGGTTTTGGTGGTACTAGTATATTACTGGATGCTTATTATTAGGTGAATTGCCGGTTATCTCCCTGATGTTTAATTTAATTACCAAACAAATATTTTCATTAATTAAAAACAATTCATATAAATTATCCTAAATTACGAAAAACCCCTCATATTTTGGTAATTACAATCATCCTTCTACTATGAATTTTCTTACACGTCCACCCTTGTGGTGTCAAATTCAACATAATCTTCTTGATTTCCGTGCAATGTTTACTAAATTTGACACCGCAAGGGTGACGTGTAAGAAGAATCATAGTTAGGGGTTGGTTGTAATTATCCAAATATGAGGGGGGTTTCGTAATTTGACCTTACCTCAGAGGTGGGTGGCTGTAATTTACCATTATTATTTACTACACCAACATTTTTCATTCTTTTCCAAACGTTCTTGTTTTTCAAATTCATTGATGGGGGGAATTTCATTAAATCAAAAAAAATAAGGTTTTTTCAAAAACAATAAGAAAAAACATCGAAAACCTGGCAAACTATTGACGACAACTACGATGATGATATGTGGGCAAAATGGGAATTCAAAGTTTCTCGTAATGCAAACTATAGATGAGAAAATTGTATGGCTAAAGCTATGATGATGAAGATGGCGAGTTGGAACTAGTGGAAAAAGACTCGATTTTTTATGAGATTGCTGATGAAGAAGTTAATGATGTTCATAGCAATGAAAGCGATAATGAAGAAAATCTCCGATGGGGTTTTAGTGAAGTTACGGATAATCAAATTCGTGAGGATGAAAACGGAAGTTTTGAGGAACTTTCTTGATTTGCAGAGCTAAAGGGAGTCGAATCAAGAAAGTATGCGCTTTCAGTGATTAATCCAGTTGATAATTTTACGCAGTGGAAAGTAGTTAAGGCTAAAACAGCAGCGCTACAAATCGAGAAAAAAAAAATCGAAGAAATAAAAAACGAAGAATACGTAGAAATGTTGACTTTTGATGTCATAAACATGCAATGCAAGAAGTGTGGCTTCATTATCTGCTTGTGTTAACTTTTGATAATTTGAGTAACTCTGTTCTTCATTACTTTATAATCTAAGTACGAGTCTATTGCATTCCACACCCCGTATTATTGATATTAGCAAAAATCCCCCCTATAATGCATTTTTAGCACCAAAAATCACTAAATTGTGAAGCTGTGATCATTACAAAAAAACCTTATAACCAATTAATTATATGTCAATTTCATAAATAATCATTAATTACAGAGTATCAGAAGCTATGGTCACCTTATTCATCACCTGCTTCTTGATATGTTTCTTTGAAAAAAATCGGAAACCCTCGATTCTGTTCCGAGAAAAAATCGGGCTTTTCAATACTCGATCAGTAAGTAAGTTACTGAGAAACAAGTGTAACGAATATGTGGTCTACATTATTCTACAGAAGCAAGAATCCTCTTCTTCCTCGTCCGATTCACTGCAAAACGAAAACCAAAAATATATCTTTTATGTCGAAAAATATAACTCAACAAGGGTATGTTTCTTTACGAAAATCGGAATCTATCTCGATTTTGTAATCTACCAAAAGCCTCGTTTGGTTGCCATAATGGGATTAGTTCAACGAGTCCAATACGCAAAATTCCAAACAAAACGTTACCGGACTAACCAAACACCAAATTAAATTTCAGTTCGTTTAATTAATCATGATACTAAAATCGAACTTCATCAAATCTCTGAAATTCACGTTTCAACCTCGTAAATTACAAAAATAATATAAACAGAAAACGGAGAATCGAAATTAACTACCTCGGTTCGAAGATGAAGATTTCTGCGAGGTTATGATCACCATTCTTATCCAACCATTGAACTTTTCTCCTAGGTTTTTCCGATATTTCAGACAATCCATTTTCCTGGGAATTACGCAGTAACAACGACTGTGATTCTGATTCCGATTCCGATTCCGATTCCGACTCATCGCCCCCTTCGCACTCCCCATTAATTACTACTACAACCTCCGAAATTTCTAAAGTGTGCGATTTTTTGGTGTTTAAATCATTCCTCAATAAACTTCCATTATTCATATCCATCAAACCAAAAATTAAATAAAAAATTATATTATCACACCAAAAAAAGAAAAAGAAAGATCGAAACTTTATACTCGTATTTATGTGAAGAATAATCAAGAAGAGAGAATTTCCCAATCTTTTGAAGTGAATTTCGAGGAATCTAACATATATATTGGGCAATTAAGAACAAGGAAAAGTCAAACTAGGGGTTTGACCAAACGACGAGTGTATATTATGTACTAATAATCAGTAGAGGCTACAGAAATTGGAATGAAAATTCAGATGAAAAAACCTGAAACTGATGATATTTGAGGAAGAGAGAGAAAGAAGAGAGAGAGAGAGAGAGAGAGAGAGAGAGGGGTAGAGAGAGAAAGGTTTTGTGTTTTTGTGTGAGTTTTACGTTTGTCTTATTTTTGATTTGCTGTAGAAGGCTGGATTTCGTGTTTGTGTCGGATTATTATTATTATTTAAATGAGGTTGTAAAATTGCGTTTTGCACCCTGGCAATAGTATTGATTTTTAGTTGGCACCTTGATATTTTACAATTGACGAAATCTACCTCGAAAGATGTAATTCGTGGCAAAATGAACCCAATGTCCATTTTTTTGTGGAATTAGAAAAGGAAAAAAAAAACAATTGTTGTA